GGCGTGTGGGCAGCCGAGTTGGGATTGGCGGAAGAGGACTATAAGGAGGGAGAGAGACGGCATGCACCAGGACATCTAAGGAGAAACATCTAGCTGAAGGAACACCTGTGCAGCCCCCCGAGAAGCCCGGCCGGCGGTGTGCCGCTCCCCTGCGGAAGTGGGGAATGTGGCCAGGGGGAACTGCCCTTCCACGGAGGTGGAAAGGATAGTAGCCAACCCGGGAAGAACCAGCAGCAAACCCGGGGAGGGCCGAGCAGACGAAAGAACAGCGCAGGGTCCTGTGTCGTTCCTCCACGAAGAGGGGGAGCGACATAATGGTGCCGTGACTCGGATATGAAGCCTAGGCAGGGTTCAGTGTCGCTCCTCCACGAAGAGGGGGAGCGACATAATGGTGCCGTGACTCGGATAGGAAACCTAGGACGGATAGGAAACTTAGGAGGGAAGAAACGGGAAGAAGCAGGAAAATACCAGAGAGAGAGACTAGCAAACAGCCTAGGGAAAAGCCGGACGAAAAGGGCGCCGGAAGAAGCTATTGAAAGCCTAGGCATAGATTCGGATACGGACTACGGGGGGAAGCTGGGAGAAATCTCTAAGGTCGAAAGCGAAAGTGAAAGCTAGAACAAACAGACTCGGATGCGGACTGTGGGGAGAGGCCAGGAGAAATGAGGGAGGAGTATTGTTGGAGGAAAGCTTGGGGAAACATCCCGGGTAGAGAAAACTTTTAGGGGAATTGAAGCCGCGGGGGGCAGGCCGAGGCGGAAACGAAAGCCACTTTGGGATTCTCAAGTTAGCCCAGGAATAGGGGGCGAAAAGTTAAAACCAGAAGCGGAAACGTAAGCCGGATTGGGATCCGTCTGATTAGCCCGGGGAACAAAGGACGGGAAGCCAAATCGTGGGGCGGAGACGTGAGCTGGGTTGAATTCGCCAGGCTAGCCCGGGGAACTTAGATTGAATGCTAATGGCGGAGACGTAAGCTACGCTGTGTGACTCACGGAGGCTGCCGCGCGCAGACAGAGCGCGCAAGGCTCAAGTAGATAGGGAACGCTGGGCTAAGTGCGAGACCGGGAGTGTGCGCGCAAAGCCGAGCCGCGCAGATGAGAGAGGCGCGGGCTGAAGCGGCTCAGAGCCGGAAAGCCGCCAAGAAGCAGCCTCGGGGCGGGCACCGGAAAGCCGCAGGGATAAGAGAAACAGAAGTTTAGAAGTAAAATGAGAGAAATAGGAATGCTGGAAGATAGAAGTAAAATGGGAGAAATAGGAATGCCCGGAGATAGAGAAATAGAGAAATAGAAAGGCCTCCCCTCAACATGGCAATGAGAAAGCTTGGATTCAGTCTGCCTGATTAGGACGATAAGCACCTGCGGGCGGCTAGCAGCTTATGCACCGCAGGTCACCGAAGACAGGCACGAATTAACATCAATAAGGCCTCCCCACAACATGGCAATGAGAAAGCTTGGATTCGGTCTGCCTGATTAGGGCGGTAAGCACCAGCAGGCAGCTCGACCAGAGTGTGAGCTGCAGGTCACCGAAGATAGGCACGAATCAACACCAATAAGTCACCCCACAACATGGCAATGAGAAAGCTTGGATTCGGTCTGCCTGATTAAGGCGGTAAGCACCAGCAGGCGGCTTGACCAGAGTATGAGCCGCAGGTCACCGAACACAGGCACGCATCAGCGCCTAAAAACCTCCTCACAACATGGCGAAGAGAGGACCCGGATTCGGTTTGCCTGATTGATAGGACTTGTAAGAACCTGTGGCAACTCTAGCAAGCAGAGCAGAGTGTGTGCCGCGGGACACCGAAGACAGGCGCGTATCAACGCCAAAAAATAAAAAGAAAGGGGGATCTGTGGGGAGCAGCTCGGACTAGACTAAGTTACTGGAATTAAGACTTGTTCTATGCATCTGCTCTCCCACAGTATGGCGCTGGGAGAGAAGGGGACAGCTTCTGCACAGCTGCCTCCAGTTCAACCAATAAACTGTAGGACTTGCTCCTGATTGGAGGAGAGTAGCGTGCTCGGCGTGTGGGCAGCTGAGTTGGGATTGGCAGAGGAGGACTATAAAGGAGGAGAGAGACGGCATGCACCAGGAACATCTATGGGGAACATCTGAGGGAACACCTGTGCAGCCCCCGAGAGAGCCGGCCGAGCAGACAAAAGAACAGCGCAGGGTCTTGTGTCGTTCCTCCACGAAGAGGGGGAGCGACATAATGGTGCCGTGACTCGGATATGAAGCCTAGGCAGGGCTTAGTGTCGTTCCTCCACGAAGAGGGGGAGCGACACATTTCCATTACTATTTTTGATTTTACAGATTTGGGGGTCTTCTCTCTCCTTTTTTTGGTTAGTTGGGCCAATGGTGTATCGATTTTGCTTATTTTTTCAAAGAGCTAGCTCCTGGTTTTGTTGATCTTTTGTATTTTTTTTTTTTTTTGGTTTCAATTCTGTTTATTTCTTCTCTGATCTTTAGTATTTCTTTCCTCCTTTTGGATTTGGGCTTGATTTGCTGCTGTTTTTCTAAATCCTTGAGGTGCATGGAGAGGTCATTTGTTTGGTTCCTTTCCAGCTTCTTGATGTAGGCACTAATTGCTATAAACTTTCCTCTTAGCACTGCTTTTGCTGTGTCCCACAGGTTTTGATAGGTTGTGTTATCATTTTCATTTGTTTCTAGAAATCTTTTGATTTCTCTTTTAATTTCTTCGATGACCCACTGTTCATTTAGGATCATGTTGTCCATTCTCCATATATTTGCATATGGTGTAGAGATTCTTGGGTTGTTGATTTCAAGTTTCACTGTGCTATGGTCTGAGAAGCTGCATGGTATAGTTTCAATTTTTTTGAATTTGTTGAGGCTCCCTTTATGGCCTAGCATATGGTCAATCCTAGAGAATGTTCCATGTACTGGGGAGAAATATATGAACTCTGTGTCTGTGGGGTGGAAGGTTCTGAAGATATCTATTAGGTCTATTTGGTCTATGGCGTCAATTAGCTCAGTTGTTTCCTTGTTGAATTTCTGTCTGGTTGATCTGTCCATTGGTGAGAGTGGGGTGTTGAAGTCCCCTGTTACTATTGTATTTGAGTCTATATCTCCCTTTAAATCCTTTAGTAATTCTTTCAGGTAACTAGGCGCCCTGTAATTAGGTGCATATACATTTATAATAGTAATGTCTTCCTGTTGGATAGATCCTTTAATCATTATATAGTGCCCTTCTCTGTCTCTTTTAATAGTTTTTATGTTAAAGTCTATTTTATCTGATATTAGGATGGCCACACCAGCTCGTTTTTGATTTCCGTTAGCTTGGGTATCTTTTTTCCATCCTTTCACTTTCAGTCTGCATGCATCTTTGCTGATAAGGTGTGTCTCCTGAAGGCAGCATATAGATGGATTCTCTTTCTTGATCCAATCAGCTAGTCTATGTCTTTTGGTAGTAGAATTAAGACCATTCACATTCAATGTGATTACTGTTAAGTACTGTCTTTTCCCATTCATGTTTCCTGCCTGCTGCAGCTCCAAGGAGGCGCCAAGAGATACTGGCTTACTCAGTCTCTCAACTAGTACCCCTGAATCGCGCACTCTTTCTGCAGGCACCACTCACTCTGTTCCGTTTTCTATTTCCTCCCCCACTCAGTCGTGTGTGTCTCAGTGTCTGTCCCAGAGTGGGTTGGGGGAGGGGTGGTGGTGGTTGCCACGGCGCTGGGCGAGTGCCCCATCTCACCTCAGCTTCCAGCGTTGGAGCGTACACACTCCTGCTGGTGTCCTGCGCTTCAGGCGTCAGCGTCCTCCTCACATGTCCACCCTATCTCCCCAGTTTTAGGAAGGGCTTCTCGTTCCTTAAAAACTACAAATTCTCACCCCTCTTTGAACCTTCCCTTACTGGACCTTCGGTGTGCTCCCTCCCTATTCCGCATCCTGCATAGTTTTTTAAAAAATATTTTTTATTGTATTTTTCATCTGCTTGAAAGGGAGGGAGAATGCAGGGAGAGGATGTGGGGGTGGGGGAGAGAGAGAGAGAGAGAGAGAGAGAGAGAAATCCTACATCTTCTGGTTTACTCCCAAATACCCTGAATAGCCAGGGCTGGGCTAGGCTGAAGCCAGGAGCAACTCCACTTGGGTCTACCACAAGAATGATAAAGGTCCAAGCACTTGACTCATCATCAGCTGTCTCCCAATGTGCTCATTAGCAGGGAACTGGATCAGAAGCTGAGAAGCCAGGACTTAAATCTGTACTCCAATATGGGATGTGGGTGTCCGAAGTGGCAGCTTAATCCACTGCCCCACAACTCCTATCCCTTGTTTTTAATTCTTCCTTTACAATAAATACCTGGGAATGACTTTTCTGTATAATATAGAACATGCATTTTTGGCCTCTTTCTCCCTCCTCTATTAATGTCCTTTAGTTCAGAATACATTTTACATCCTTGAGGCAAAATTACTTCCCTAAAGGTGATGGGACATTTGTAACCCCCTTCAGAAACTGTCAATGTTTCCCACTGTACATAAACAGAAATAGTGTAGAATTCCAGACCAAGCATGGCCTCCCTCTCCAGCCTGATCCCAAAGATGGTGAAGATGCCAACCAGGATCCTCCTCTCTTATTTGGAGGCCCCATGAAAGCTCCTTCAAGATGAATCCAGACAAGAGAACAAATGATCCAGAAACCACAAATGGAAACTGGCTCTCTACCTCCCAGGCCCAGATGTAGGGTACCCGGAACCTCCCTGCAATCTGAGCTGTGGTAGTAACACCACTGGGTATTGGATTTAACTGGCTTTCTTACTTGTGACTCTCAAGAGAAAGTAGAAAGGCCTGGTCTGAGTATGCCGAAGCCCTCTGAGTCTAAGTTTCCTGCCTGCAAACTCTTTATATTTCAGGTTTGATATTAGGATTAATGAGATAATAACCATAAAACACTTACACAATGACTGTTGCACAAGGGCATTCAACAAATACCCCCTGTCCTTCCTGCCACTCTTAGTTCTCAAGTCACCATTGTGTCCATTTAACTGCTTTGCCTCTTTCACACGTTGTGGTTTGATGTCGGAACTGTAACATTTTCCAGGCAGGGACATCCTAACTTTGGGAACTTCTGCATGTGACTGAATTACCGTCTCAAGTGATAGAGTAGCATGAGAGATACAAACACAGATATTGCAACCACGTTACTGGGACTGTCCAGCTACTATCTCTGTAAACTTACACAAGTTGCTTGATTGCTATGTGCCTCAATGTTCTCCTCTGTAAAGTAGGGATAATTATTGTACCTGCCCCATGCAATTAAATTTGTTGAATTATTGAGATCACTTAGAATAAGACATATACAGTTTGTTACCATTTTCATCTTCAGAATTGGAGGGAGGTAGAAGAGAATTAAATCATAGTGTCCTTAGCACGGTTCGATGTATCAGGTGAAGCTGGAGGTTTGTTTTTTTTTTTTTTTTTTTTTTTTTTTTTTTTTTTTTTTAATTTGAAAGTCAGAGTTACACAGAGAGAGAGGGAGAGGCAGAGAGAGAGAGAGAGAGAACGCAAGCTGAAGTTGATTGGAAGGCTTTCATGGGGAAGGAGGGGTCAGTTTCCATGGTGTGAACACAACACTGCAGAGAGTTCAGACTGCCTGCCAGCACAGAGCTCCTTGGATTTCTTGTGAGACAGTAAGTATTTTTATATTACCCCTTCCTTATTTCTTATAATTATTATGGATCACTCACATTTATTAGAAACTATATTACTGACTACAGTGCAAACTGAAACACATCTATCAAAAAGACAGGAATTCAAGTGTACTTAACTGAACTCACAAGGATTCACATAAAGAAAAGTTTATGTTTTTTTTTTCTGTAAGTATTTTATTTATCACTGAAGAAAAAACACAGCAGCAAGTTCTGTGTTGGCTTCAATAAGACCAAATAGTTAAATCTTTAACATAGCTATTACACTCCAAAATTGAAGTCAACACAGTCATTACTACAAATTACTTGTTGAAAGAATCTATCCTGAAGAGAAAATTAGGAAAGAGAATTTAAACAGTTCCTCCAAACCACACATTTATAAATATTGTCATATTTAAAATGCTTGAAAGGCATGAATTCTCCATTAAGGGAAAAGCAGTTTGCTATTGGCAACAGAAAACTCAGCGATAGTTTACCAAATGCTTTAAAATTTAAAAGCTGTATTGTTTGGGATTCACACTGCAGCAGTATTCTTAATACAGTGACTGTAAATTGCCTTATACTCACCTTCTCTCAAGTAAAAGCTACAGGTTTATGTTTTTGTAGTCAATGATCAGCTAGTGTACTATACAAAGAACCTCAAAAAGTTCAGGGAAAATATAATTAAAGGATAAGTTTATTTTAGTGTAAAAATATTGAAATCCATGCAAGTTTTTCATAAAATGCATATTCCTATGAATATTTATTTTATTTTTTTATTAGACAGGTAGAGTTATAGACAGTGAGAGAGAGACAGAGAGAAAGGTCTTCCTTCCGTTGGTTCACTCCCCTAATGGCCTCTACGGCCAGCACTGAGCCGATCTGAAGCCAGGAGCCAGGTGCTTCTTCCTGGTCTCTCATGTAGGTGCAGGGGTCCAAGCACTTGGGCCATCCTCCGCTGCCCTCCCTGGCCACAGGAGAGAGCTGGAATGGAAGAGGAGCAACCAGGACTAGTACCCTGTGCCCCAACCAGGACTAGAACCCCGGGGTGCTGGCACCAGAGGCGGAGGATTAGCCAAGTGAGCCACGGCGCTGGCCTATTCCTATGAATTTTTTAAAGATTCTTTTTATGCATGGGTTTAAAAGTTTTTTGCACCAAAAACAGACTTACCTTTGAATTCCATTTTCCATGGAATTCTCATTTATATTTTCTGCAAATAAATTTCGCTTTTTTTGTTTTTAAAAATAGTGAACCAGCCGGCGCCATGGCTTAATAGACTAATCCTCCGCCTTGCGGTGCCGGCACACTGGGTTCTAGTCCCGGTCTGGGCGCTGGATTCTGTCCCAGTTACCTCTCTTCCAGGCCAGCTCTTTGCTGTGGCCCGGGAAGGCAGTGGAGGATGGCCCAAGTGCTTGGGCCCTGCACCCTATGGGAGACCAGGAGAAGCACCTGGCTCATGGCTTTGGATTGGCGTGGTGCACCAGCCACAGCGGCCATTGGGAGGTGAACCAATGGCAAAAGGAAGACCTTTCTCTCTGTCTCTCTCTCTCACTGTCCACTCTGCCTGTCAAAAAAATAAAAAAATAAAAAAATTAAAAAAAAATAAAAAAAAATAGTGAACCAGCAGGGAGACGATCTTTCTCCATCTCTCTCTCTTTTTCTCTGTAACTCTTTTTTTTATTTTTTCTTTTTTTTTTCTTTTATTTACTGAACATAAATTTCCAAAGTACAGCTTATGGGTTACAATAGCTTCCCCCGCTCCATAACTTCCCTCCCACCCACAACGCTCCCTTCTCCCACTCCCTCTCCCCTTCCATTCACATCAAGATTAATTTTCAATTATCTTTGTATACAGAAGATCAATTTAGCATATATTAAGTAAAGATTTCCACAGTTTGCACCCACACAGAAACACAAAGTGTAAAATACTATTTGAGTACTAGTTATAGCATTAATTAAACACCTAAGAGTAATTGTGTATCAGTTACAGAGTTCAACCAATAGTTTTAAGTAGAACATTAAAAAAATACTAAAAGGGTAAAGTATTAAGTTCTTTTTTTGTTTTCTTTTTTTTGTTTGTTATATAGTTTTTTTTATTTATTTAATAAATGTGAATTTACAAAGTGCAACTTTTGTATTGTTGTGGCTCCCCCCCCCCAACCTCCCTCCCTTCCGTGGCCCTCCTCTCTCCCACTCCCTCTCCCATCCTGCCATTCATCACGTTTCATTTTCAATTACCTTCATATACTGAAGATCAACTTAGTATATACTAAGCAGGGATTTCAACAGGCTGCACTCACACAACCGCACAAGGTATAGGGTATTGTTCGACTAGTAGTATTGTTTTTAAGTTTCGTAGTAGAACACATTAAGGGCAGAGATCCTACATGTAGAGCATGAACCCAGTGACTCCTGTTGTTGACTTAACAATTGGCACTCTTATTTATGAAGTCGGCAATCACCCGAGATTCTTGCCATGAGCTGTCTAGGTTATGGAAGCCCCTTGAGTTCACCAACTCTGAACTTGTTTAGTCTAGGCCGTATCACAGTGGAGGTTCCTTCCTCCCTTCAGAGAAAGGCGCCTCTCTCCTTCATGGCCTGTTCCTTCTGCTGGGGTCTTGTTCACCAGGATCTTTCATTTAGATTGTTTTTTGCCACCGTGTCATGGCTTCCCATGCCTGTGAGACTCTCATGGACCTTTTAGCCAGATCCGAATGTCCCAAGGGTTGATTCTGAGGCAGGAGTGCTGCCATTCTGTGAGTCTGCTGTGTGTCCTGTTTCCCCCGCAGGATCATTCTCTCCCTTTTGATTCTATCTTTCATTATTTGCTTATACTGGTCTTATTTGTGAAATCTCATCAACACATACCCTATCCTTTTGTTTGGTTGTGTATTTATACTTATCACTTTTGTAACTCTTTCAATAAATAAGTAAATCTTCAAATGAAAGACTGAGATAGAAAAAGAGAATGGAACTATGAATCTAGAAATAAACCCATAAAATCCTTATATTTATACTCAATTGTTTATGGCAAGTGTGCCATATAAAAAAACTAATTCCGGCTGGTGCCGCGGCTCAATAGGCTAATCCTCCACCTTGTGGCGCCGGCACACCGGGTTCTAGTCCAGGTCGGGGCACCGGATTCTGTCCCGGTTGCCCCTCTTCCAGGCCAGCTCTCTGCTGTGGCCAGGGAGTGCAGTGGAGGATGGCCCAAGTTCTTGGGCCCTGCACCCTATGGGAGACCAGGAGAAGCACCTGGCTCCTGCCATCGGATCAGCGCGGTGCGCTGGCCGCGGCGCACTGGCCGCGGCGGGCATTGGAGGGTGAACTAATGGCAAAGGAAGACCTTTCTCTCTGTCTCTCTCTGTCACTGTCCACTCTGCCTGTCAAAAAAAAAAAAAAAAATACAGGAATAAATCTTTGTGAGGTAGAGGGCCCAACTTCACTCTCTTAATCATTGACTATTCAGGGGCTCAGCAACATTCACTGAAAAACTGAATTGTCCTAATGTTCTTTTTGAAGTCAGGAACTGTAGCTCCTCCAACTCTGCTCTTTCCCAAGGTTGTTTGACTATTCTCTGCCCCTTCCATTTCTATATCACTTGAGGGATCAGACAATTTATATGGGAATAAATCTGCTACCCAGTGAAAACTTCACCTGGCATTGAAACTCATCCATGGGAAGTTAGGCAATCAAGTTGTTATGCACTCAAATGTGGAAAAACAAGGTTGGTTTAAGTGTAAACCTGCTTAAAGGCTTGTATGAAAGGCAAGTGAAAAAGCTTCCAGACACCAACTATAAAAATGTTTTTGTTTTTAATGTCACTCACAGGTTAGGATCACTCTAGTATTTTGCTCATCATTTTATCATTGTCAAAATACAGAGTATTCAAAAATTTCAAGGAAAATGCACATTATGAAAAAACTATGCATGGATTTCCAAGTTTTTTTTCTGCACCAAAATAATTTTTTTATTTCATTTCTGTGAACTTTTTGAAGTTTCCTCATACTCCAGTGCAATGATTTTTCTTACTAACACATATTTAAAAAGTAAAATGCAGTCTGTGCTCCCTTCTTTTTTACTGAATGTAATATGTATGGAACATCTGTTTCATACAACAAGGGTAGCTCTTGTCCTGCATATTGGAGATTCTGATTCACATAACACCAATACCAGGTATCTGCATTTTTAATTAATTAATTATTTATTTATTTGAAAGAGTGACAGAGAGGAATGAAGAGAGAGAGAGAGAGAGAGAGAGAGAGATCATCCATCTGCTAATTTTACTCCCCAGATGGCCACAATAGACAGCTCTGGGCCAGGCCAAAGCTAGGATCCAGGAACTACATCCAGGTCTCCCACATGGATGACAGGAACCTGAACACTTGGACCATCTTTCACTGCCTTCCCAGGTGTATTAGCAGGAAGTTGAGTCAGAGGCAGAGCAGATGAGAATCCAACTGGCACCGCAATATGGGATGCCAGTATCAAAAGCAGGTGCTTAACCTGCCATGCCACAGCACCAGCCCCAGGCATCTATATGTGTAAGAATCCACTAATGATTTTCATGAAACCACTTAGTTGAGAACAACTGCAGCCTCCTTCAAGTCTTCAGTATTGCTCCTTCCTAGTCTATCCCCTACTTCAAAATGTAGTGAGTGAACCAGCAGCTGCCATGGGGACTTTCTGCTTTTTGGTAATATATCCATATATATATATATGTATATATCATTTAGCTCTATATAGAAAATTTTGTCAACCCTTGGTCTGCAAATTAGTCAGAACTACTTGCTCTATGCAGGGTATGCCTCTGGGCCACAGACATGCTGTGCCTGTGGTGGGGATTCCCACCACTGCCACTTTCTAGGATTATTCTTATTTATCCCTTCCAAAGCCAACATAGGGGACTTTCACAGAAAAGTTCCTTCACTTCCCAGTCTTGGTGAATCAGCTCTTTTTCTCTGTCCCCTGGGCACTTGGGACATTGCATTTTAATTTTGCTTACTTCACTTCCACACTCTAGGGCTCTGACTTTGAATGTATATCAGACTCACCTGGAGGCCTTGCTGTGCCAAAGATTGCTATGCCTCATCCCAGAGTTCCAGATTCAGTAAGTCTCAGGGATTCCAAGAATTTACCTTTCTATTAAGTTCCTAGGTAAAGCTAGTCACAGTTTGCGAAATCAGCTCCAGCCACTTCTTGAGATCAGAGAGTCATTCGCAATGGCCACGTCCCAAATGACTCTCTACCCATAATTTATTTTCTGTCTCAGTTTCTTACTTGCTTATATTAGTACTTCTCAAAATTTTTTGCCTCAATACTTTTTTATACATGTTATTATTTTATATATTATTGGGAACCCCAGAGATCTTTCATTTATTTGAGTTAGAGCTACCAACATTTATTCTATTAGAAATTAAAACAGAAAAATATTAAATGCTGATTAATGCATTTGCAAAAACTGTAATAAACCTATTACATGATAACATAAATAATATTTTTAGGAAAAATACTCATATTTTCCAAACCCAAAATATGTCAAGTGGTATTGCTTTACATTTTTCCCCGCAACCTCTTTAATATTGAGCTTAATAGAATACATCAAGATCTCATATCTTCTTCTGCACTCAGTTTGGTGTTCCACATTCAGTATGTTGTTTTAATTGAAGTATAAAAAGAAAATCTATCTTCAGACACAAATAAAGTTGGAAAATGGAGGCATATTTTATAGCTCTTTTCAGATAATTATGGATATTTTTCTTTGCTACAACACCAAAACTGGACCAGTGGTAGTCTCTTCAAGGTCAGTTACAATTTGGAATCGGAAATGTGCTTTCCATATTCTGTTTCATTAACATCTGTTGCTCTGTCTCAAATGCCTCTCTTTACACATGCAAGCCTTTGTAACATCCTACATTTGTCACATGGGAAATATTGTCCATGGGGTAAGAAAGTTTTTCTAAATGATGATGTATTTCATTATATAATATTTTTAAATCACACTTGTTAATTCATGTAATCAAAGAAAAAGATTTAGTTAGGATAATTCTAACTTCCTTATTAAAGGTGGTCCTATAAAACTGTTTTTTTTTTTTCTGTGAGTGTGGTAAAAACCATGACTACTGGTTTAATCTGATGTCACTGCCTTGATATTTTCTAAGGTACCAGTAGTTTTCAAAATCATTGCTTTTCAACCATCAGGATAGCAGTCAACACAATGAGCAAGGATAATATCACTATCAAAATAGTTTAGACTTCATGGATCCCCTGAAAATGACTCATGAACCCCTAAGGGTCTATGGAATACAGTGACTAATAATAATGTTTAGCTGTTTTATTCACGCTCATCTCCCCAGTGGGAATAGCAGCAATAGTACGTAATTTTCATGGAACAGCTGCTCTACATCTACTGTAAAGTTTTCATGTGGATTATCTCATATCCTTACAAAGATTCTGGCTGTTAATTGCCATTTTACAGATGAGAAAGATAAGACACAGAATTACACAGCCCACTTAAGGTAACATCACCAGAATTTTGAAGTAGGAGTAGAAAATAGCACTGGAGAGTGACTTGAGGTCAGAGAGCGAAGTGCCAGATTGTGAGCAGACAATGTGATTCTGTACTTAGTGGAAGCCATCAATAATCATTGAGTTGGGAATTGGCATGCACTTAACTACATTAGCCAAGATCCACGTATACAGTTAGCAGAGCACACACATAAGGCAATCCTAGATGCAGATTCACGGAGCAGGAAAGACAATTAATGATGCGTATGTCTATAGAATCACTGTCCAGGCATAAAGGGTTGTCTAGAATTTACTGAATGCCTGTTTGTCCCACAGCTGTTTTCTGCCATGGACTTGACCAAAATTTCAGACATGACAAAGCTCCATCAAGCTGTGGCTGCTGGGAACTATAATTTAGTGAAAAAGATTTTGAAGAAAGGTCTTTGTGACCCAAACTACAAGGACAAAGACTGGAATGATCGGACCCCACTTCACTGGGCTGCAATCAAAGGTGAGTGGGTGATGTTTAGATAGAACCATGCTTTTGAGTCTACTATTCGTGAGTCAGGACACTGTGTGGGGGAGGGGGAACACTAACATTTCTTTGGAGTCAAGTGGAATATTTCTCTACTTTTTAAAAAAATATTTATTTGAAAGCCAGAGTTACAGAGAGGTCGAGACAGGGAGAGAGAGATCCTCCATCCACTGGTTCACTACCCAGATGGCCACAATGGCCAGGACTGGGCCAGGCTGAAGCCAAGAACCAGGAGTTTTGTCTGGGTCTCCCAGGTAGGGCAGGGGTCCAAGGGCCAGGGCCATTTTCCACTATTTTTTCCAGTTCACGAGCAGGGAGCTGATCGAAAATGGAGCACCTGGGACACAAATTGGCACCCATATTGGATGCTTGTTTTGCAGAAGGTGGCTTTACCCACTAGGCCACAATCCCCTCCTCAGGTGGAATATTTCAATCTGACACTGTTTATTACTTGCAGCACCTTGAGCATATTATGAACGAAGATGCCTCTGTTTATTCATCTATGTAATGAGGGTGACAATACTACCTTCTAGTCCTGTTGGGGGAATTCAGTCAGATAATGGATGTAGACTGCCTAGTATAGAGTCTGCTCTCAATATTAGCCCATGGGGAGGCTGTCTGGTATAATGGTTAAGACACTGGGTGGGTACCTGTATCCCATGTCTTGTCCTGGCTCTGCTTCTAAATCTAAGGTTCTTGCTAATACGCACCCTGGGAGGCAACAGGTGATGGCTTAGGTACTCAAACCCAGCCCTGACTATTGTGGGCATTTGAGGAGTGAACTAACAGATGGGCAATATTTATCTATGTGTCTATCTCTTTCTTTTACTCTATTTCTATTTCTCTTTTCAAATAAAATAAAACAAGTAGATACAAACTTTTTAATTAAAAACTCATATGTCAATCCTCTACGCTCATGAAGAGAGCATCATGAAGGATAGGAATTTGTCCCATCACTCTGTTCCCTAAGCCTAGCAGAACTCAGAGAACTAGAGGAGGACATTGGCAAAATCTCTGCCAACAGGCTTGTCAAGTGCTTTGAGAATAAAATACCAAAACTTCAGTCTGAAAAATATGATCTCGTAAAAATGCAAAGGTGGGGGCCAGCACTGTGGCATAGTGGATAAAGCTACTCCCTGCAGTGCTGGCATTCCCATATGGGCACAGGTTCAAGTCCTGGCTGCTCCACTTTGATCCAGCTCTCTGATATGGCCTGGGAAGGCAGTAGAAGATGGCCTAAGTGCTTGGGCCCCTGCACCCATGTGGGAAACCTGAAAGAAACTCCTGGCTCCTGGTTTCAGATCGGCTCAGCACCAGCTGTTGTGACCATTTGGGGAATGAACCAGTAGATGGAAGACCTCTCTCTCTCTCTTTCTGCTTCTGCCTCTGCCTCTCTGTAACTCTGACTTGCAAATAAATAAACAAATCTTTAAACAAAGAATAATGGTCTTCAGGCTACCCTTTCAAGACCTTTTTTTAAAAATGCAAAGATATAGACACCATTTCCAAGCCAACGAGTATCTTGAAGTAATATTTTACATGGAGCGATGACTTTTAAAAAATTGTTGTTTTTTTCCCTTAACCTAATGAGAGCAGCCAACTTGATGTATATAATATGCTAGAGCCTTCTGCCTATAAGGATATGGCAGTCTATATGAAATTCTTGGAATGAATGCAAGTACTGCTAATTCTTTTGTCCATTTCATCAAAATGGAAGCATTTCTAGAAAAGCCTGAACATGTATAAGAAGAAACACATTTGCAAGATCTATACCCTTCAAATGAAATGTCTTCTTAGAAGAATGATAATTTAATGAATGCAAATAAATTAGCACGTTTTTCATCTTGAATATACAATTGTTTTACCACAAAAAACTGCTACAGTAAAAAGGTGCAATAGTCAACTTTGCACTCTTTAAAAAAATTATTTGAGAGAGAGAGAGATCCCATCCACTAGTTCATTCCCCAAATGCCTGTAACAGCTGAGACTGGGCCAAACAGTGCCAGGAGCCAGGAACTCAATCCAGGTGTCTCTTATGGATCACAGTAACACAATTACTTGAGCCATCACTACTGCCTCTCAGGGCCTGAGTTAATAGGAAACTGGAGCCAAAGACAGGTATTAAAGCCAGGCACTCAGATATGGGAAATGGACATCATTTTACTTTATTTTTTAAGATTCCTTTCCTTCATCCATTTTAAAGTCAGAATTACTAAGAAAGGGGGAGACACACACACACACACACAGAGAGAGAGAGAGAGAGAGAGAGAGAGAGAGAGAGAATCTTCCATCCACTGACTTATTCTCTCCCTCAATGGCCACAATGGCCAAAGCTGAGCCAGACAGAAGCCAGGAGCCAGGAATCACATCCAGGTCTCCCACATAGGTAAGGTGGCACAAGCACCTGCACCATCTTCTGCTGCTTTTCCAGGCACATCAGCAAGGAGCTGGATTGGAAGTGGAGCTGCTGGGACGCGAACCAGTGCCCATGTGGGATGCTGGCACTGCAGATAGCAGCTCAACCCGCTATGCCACAGCAACAGACATCTTAATTGCTAGGCTATATGCTTGCTCCAGCTTTGGATTTTAAAAATTTGTTTTCAGGAGCTGGTTTTGTGGCATGGTGAGTTAAGCTTCTACCTATAACAGCAGCATCTCATAAGGGTGCTGGTTCATGTCCCACCTACTCCACTTCCAATCCAGTTCCCTGTGAATGGCCTGGGAAAAATAATGGAAGATGACTGAAGTGTTTGTGTCCCTGCCACCAATGTTGAGGGCCCAGAGAAAGCTCTTGGCTCCTGGCTTCAGCCTTGCCCAGTGCAGGCCATTGCGGCCATCTAGGGGAGTGAACCAATGGATGGAAGATTTCTCTCTCTCTCTCTCTCTCTCCCCTCTCAGTAACTCTAACTTTCAGATAAATAAATAAATAATTTTTAAAAAAAGAATTTCTTTTCATCTCCGTGTAGAGAATGGATTTATAAGAAGCATGACTATGCAGAGAAATTACTTGGGATAATTTTGCAGAAATCTAAGTACAAAGTGATGGTAGCTATGGGACTAGTAAACCATCCTTTAGTGAACATTTGATATGTGCTGTGTACTTCCTGTCTGTGATTTCACTTGCAGTTCCAGAAGAATTCAGTGTGAGAAGGGGTAATATCTTAAAATTTTAAAGAAAAACACTGAGTCTCAGACATGTATTTCTTGTCCAAGATGTCAAGTTAGCAAGTGGTGTTATCAGAATATGAACCCACATCTATATGAGTAGAAACCCTGCATTCTTAAGCTGTGTTAGTAATAATATAAGAAGGATTTAAAATGTTAGTTTTGGGAATAAGCATTGAGATGACCAAAAACAGGGTGAGCCTTAGCAGGGTTAGCATGGACAGGTATCCTGCTACTTGGAAAGAAAGCAAGATTCCTGAGCAAGGCCAAGTATAGTTGGGAAGGAGAGAGCATTGTTCTGGAAGGAGTACAGGGAGTCCTTGGAGTGCTCAGGTCCTAAGTGGGACAAGGTTCATGTGAGTCCCTGGTCAGAAGAGGAAGAAGGGAGGAGGGGATGATAATAAGTGCTTTGAGAGCAAATTTATTTCCCTTTTTTGTGTTGTCTAGGTTGTTGCTGGCCCCAGGCCACCAGGGTGTTTTCATCCTAACTTCATTCTGTTTCTTCTCGATACCTCTTAGGGCAAATGGAGGTGATACACATCCTGATAGAATATGGAGCCAGTCCTTGCCTGGTGACTGATGTAGGCTGGACCCCAGCCCACTTTGCCGCTGAATCAGGCCACCTGAATGTGCTCAAAACTCTCCACGCACTGCATGCTGCCATCGATGCTCCCGACTTCTTCGGAGACACCCCAAGAAGGATCGCACAGATCTATGGGCAGAAAGCCTGTGAGGCATTCCTGGAAAAGTAAGCTCCAGTTTGTTCCTAGCTGGAGAAAGGGCAGAGAGATAGTGGCTTATGATCAAAGTCTTTGCTAACTCTAAGGTCTCAGGTTAATGAAAAAGAAATGGAGAAATATAGTCAACTGACTATTGTTGGTTAATTTTTAAATTGAATTTATTAATTTTTTACTGAAATGACTAGATTTGGGGAAAGCTATTAATTTAGAGAAAAACAAAAATTTACCAATAAGCACTGTGGCATATTGGTAAAGTCTTTGCCTACAGTGCTGGCATCCCATATGGACGCTGGTTCGAATCCCGGCTGCTCCACTTCCAATCCAGTTCCCTGCTAATGGCCTGGTAAAAGCAATGGAAGATGGCCCAAATCCCTAGGCCCCTGCTCCCACATGGGAGACCTGGAAGAAGCTTCTGGCTCCTGGATCGGCCCAATTCTAACCATTGTGGCCATTTGGAGAGTGAACCAGAGATGGAAGATTTCTCTTTCTCTCTCTGCCTCTGCTTCTCTGTAACTGCCTTTCATATAAATAAATAAATCTTACAAAAATAATAAATTACCTCAGATAAGTGAATTGGGACACTAAGTTTGCAGACAGGACGTGAGAGACAAGATCCACAATGGTCCAGTGACATCTGAAAGGTATTCAGATGAGCTGCGTGAACTTGTCTAAGTCAAGTCACCTTCCCTCGTATCTAAACTGAGGCAGATGAATTAGACTTCTATTTTATTAAGTCCCTCTATCTTTTAACATTTCTCTGTTCACTCATGAATTTCCTATGCATACATGCCTGTAAGATTAAAATTTGTCTAGGATTTGTTCATTTTTTTTTCACCCAACCAAGGATTCAGGCACAATTAAGTACCAATTATGTACCTGACAGTTACAGCTCTGAGGAAATAAAAATCAAAGTTTAAGACTTTATAACTTGATTGGGTCAATGAGTAATTCATACAAGAAAAAGGAAGGGCATCATTGCTTGGAAACCAAAATGAAATTGAGAACAAACCTGTCTACATGTAGGGGCAGTTCATGGTGGGAGAGTAGATGATAGTGAAATGCCTTCCCCAGAACTTGAAAATACACTTATCTTCAGAAAGTTAAACTACTAAAACCTTTACTTATGGCAAGATTAGTTATCTGTAGTGGTAAACCAGGAGACCTTATTTTTTTTATAAATACATGTGTGTTTTAAGTTTTCTAAATTTATTTTCATTTTATTTGTAAGGAAGAGAGACAGACACAGAAAGAGATGTTCCATCAACTACTTCACTCGCCCAATGCATGCAACAGCCAGTACTGGATCAGGCTGAAGTCGGAAGCCAGGAACTCAATCCAGGTCTCCCACGTAGATGGCAGGGACCTGAGTGCTTGAACCTGCTTCCTCCCAAGATTTATATTATCAGGCAGCTGAACTGGAAACCAAGTCGGGACTCAAACTCAGGCACTCCAATACGGGATGTAGGTGTCTCATGCAGCAAATTAACCATTGTGCCAAATGCCCACCCCATGAGATTATCTTTTTTTTTCTTTTCTTTTTCTTTTTTTGACAGGCAGAGTGGACAGTGAGAGAGAGAAACAGAGAAAAAGGTCTTCCTTTGCCGTTGGTTCACCCTCTAATGGCCGCCGCGGCTGGCGCGCTGCGGCCGGCATACCGCGCTGATCCGATGGCAGGAGCCAGGTGTTTATCCTGGTCTCCCATGGGGTGCAGGGCCCAAGTACTTTGGCCATCCTCCACTGCACTCCCTGGCCACAGCAGAGAGCTGGCCTGGAAGAGGGGCAACCGGGATAGAATCCGGCGCCCCGACAGACTAGAACCCGGGGTGCCGGCGCCACAGGCGGAGGATTAGCCTAGTGAGTCGTGGCGCCGGCCTGAGACTCTGTCTTAAAGATGACCTTTCACTTTAAACATATTTAAAATCACAATTGAGGCGATTTGGAGAGTGTAGATACCGAACCTTGAGTCCTGACTCACAGACTCTCTCTTCTCCAGTTTCTGCCATTATCCCCAGCATTCGAAAACTCCCATCCATTTTGGACCTCAGCAGCATCATCAGACATTGTTCTCTAAAATCATAAAAACCCTGACATTTCACTATATGATCATAGCTCCCTTCATTTTTCAGCTCCTATATCATTATGCAAGTCTCTGAATTTGTCAAGACCCCTTTTTACGCAACTTCTTTCTCTTCCAACCCATCACCTGCCAGAATGTTTCACTAATTCCCCCTGCCATCTGGACTGATGCACCACTTCTACTCCTTTCCCCCTATTCTGAACTTTCCAACCCTTTGTCTTTCTGTGATACAGAACCCACAATTTTAAACTTGGGATGAATATCTGTCACGTATGTTCATATGCTTCGTTGACTAGAGAAAATTCCACTAATATGTGGTTAGGAATCATCAGAAGTTCTTTTTTAGTTTTGTTTTTCATTTTTTTATGTTTTAAAGTTTTCATTTTTTACTTGAAAACCAGAGTTACAGAAGAAAGGAGGACACACACACACACACACACAGAAATCTTGCATCCATTGAGTCACTCCCCAAATGACTGCAACAGCTTGGGCTAGGCCAGGCTGAAGCCAGGGGCCAGAAGCTTCCTCTGGGTCTTCCACGTGGGTGCAGGGGCCAAAGCACTTGGACCATCTTCCGCTGCTTCCCCAGGTGCATTAGCAGGGAGCTAGAAGGGAAGTGGAACAGCTGGGACTTGAACTAGTGCCCATATGGGATGCCAGCATCGCAGGCAGAGACTTAATCTGCTACACCACAATGCTGGCCCAGAAATTTTAAGATTTCCACCTCCTGCTGAGACCTAAGAGCAGCTTGGTGGTCTCTTCCTGCCCTGATCACTCTTTGACAAGTCCGCATTCCCATTACACGTCAGCCTGCCTCTCAGAGGCCTGCCTTCTACTTCAGAGACACATTGCAGCCACTACGCAGTTTTCAACCTCTTCACCTGCCTATTTAATATACACCTCATCAGTTCCTTTTTGCCTTCTGCCTTCATCTGTGAAAAATGTCACCACACTGCAGACTTTCGAGCCAATCCACAGGATCAGCACTTTTGTATTCTTTGTTGCATTTTTACTCTTTCTACTCCATTTTATAGGTTTTTTTTTTTTTTGATTCTTTCCCTTCACTTTTGCTTTTAGCATTTGCATAGAACCAGTGCCCATAAGGGAGGCCGGCGCTGCAGGCGGAGGATCAACCTAGTGCGCCACAGTGCCCTTGGCTTTCCTTCTATCTCTCTGATCAACTCTCTGATTTTTTTATATGCTTTTCCTAAGGAAAAAAAATCTCATGATCTATTTTTGCATGCCTTTTAGATGCTAAATCCCTCACAGTCAAGTCCTTGGCTCTCTTCTACAGAATTTTCCAAATATTTTCAGGCCCACCCTTGTAACTAGTGGATGGACTAACATGATAATGGCCTCAGCATAAATGAAATGGGGGAGGAGTGCCTGTCCCAATAGTGAGAAGTACTACTGCTGCGACAAGCAGCAGGCAATGTTGAGCAGACAAAAACAAGAAAGGCCCACCACATGGTGTGTGAGTCATCTCCACTTCTCAGCATTTCCCATCAGGACCTCCCCTTCTGACAGTTAGAGGGTAGAGAGAAGGAAGCCTGGAGGAAGGGGGAATTCATCTGAATTTTGAAAGAAAGCTAAGAGCTTGTTTATGGGGAGGTGAGAAAAACTGTTGCTTTGGAGGGAAGTGTACCTAGGCTGTGTGTCCATGTGAGGAGAGGGAGGGACGGTGGAGGGATGAGTGACTGGGCTAAGGGGAGCATTCAGTGAGGGAGAAGTGGAGGATGAGGTCTGGGTGTGGGCGGGTGACCGTCACGAGTCAGGCCAGCACATGAGTGCGTGTGGACTCCTCAGAGGCTGGACATGCGGAAATAAACGTGCAGGCAAAGCTACTCATGCAGTAGAGGAGGAGGGGCAGTGAGGCTATGCATGGAAGGATTAAAGATATTTAGACTCCAGGTTATCCAATCACTTACACAGCTTCTTCATGGTTCCCACTGTGGGGAGATGAGCTCCCGATCTAGGATGCTAAGCTAAAAGGATATTAAAGAACTTCAAGAGAAGCCTAGACCATATCTGATAATTTTCTGAGTATCCTAGGGACCATTGTGAAACAGCTCAACTTCTGGTTCACCCTAAGTGGGAAGTCTTGCATTCAACAAGTATTTTTGAGTCCTAGTATGTGCATGGCATTAGGTGAAGCATTAAAAAGAACAGAAAGATAAATCAGATATAGGGCTGCACATCAAGATGCTCCCTGCCTACAAGAGGAAATTACTTGTATACATAAATAACACTAATACAAGATCGAAAATGACATGGCAGATGGTGGGTGCTCTGATCTGTCACCAAAGGACCGCAAGGTCACTTCCAGCTTGATGTGGATAGGGTTTGCCAGTGAGGACAGCCGCACTGTACTTTCAATTATCTGTGCTTTTCACGATGATTGGCACTTGCATACTCTGCCTGTTGCACCATCTAGTCTCTCAGATTCCATTTTTCCACACTGATTTAAGTTTTATTTCTACGCAGGGGCTTTCACCATGGTCTTTAAGCAATTTAGGTACTCATCTTTAGCCTCGTGTGCAAAACCACACACAATGCTTCCCATTGTTCAGGTGTGTCTGATGATCTGTTGATCCATTTGAACCCATCTGTCTGTCTACCTTCCATCATGCATCTATGGCTATCTATTTTTATATAGAAACACTCTATTCATATGTGATTGTGAGGGCTTTTTATTTTTTTCTTGCATGTTTCTGTACTTTTAAATTTCATACAGTGAACATACATCACTGTTTTAATTAGGAAAAACATACAATTAAAAATAGTCAAAGGAAAACACACTCAAGCCACACTTTAAGAATGAACAGCATCTTCTGCAAACCAAATCACTGCCTTTGAGTCTGGTGACACGTGGTTTGCGTGACACCTTTGCTCTCAGTGTCTGAGACCTCCCTGAGTGTACACTGGGAAGTGTGCACGCTTGGTCCCCTGCCTTCTCGCCCAGCCCCCTGTGAGTGCGCGCAGCGTGCAGGGTGCAGGAGGCCACACCGCGGGCTCTATTGCGAACTCCAAAGCCCGCCTATGCTTTCAGCGGCCACTTTTACTTTCGCAGGGCAGAACCCGAGTGCCAGGACCATCGCCGCGCCGCCCTCCAGCAGGGGCTGCCGCTAGAGGAGCGGGACCCAGAATGGGAAGCCAAGAAGAGGGAGCTGGAGCTGACTCTTCCTTCCCGGAATCCAAACTCTAGGAAAAAGGAGAAGAGAAGCCGAGGGGCCCCCAGGCTCAGCAAACCCAGGGAGCGGAGAGTGTAAGGCGCCCTAGGGCTGGGCTGGTTTCCCGATAGGGACTGGTCTGGCACAACAATGCCATTCCATTTGCAAGTCTCTCCTGGGCGAGCTCCCTGCGCTAGCGCTAGCGTAGCGGCTGTTGTCCCTCACTAAAATCCGCTGTGCAAAGAGGTTCCCAGGAGGGGCCGATTGCTGCTTGCATTTCGTCCTGGCTGATTTGCACTGCCAGCATCTCCTGACAATGCGTCTGCCACCCCCAACACATCCAATAGTAGAATTTCAGAGGATAAAGGAAAAGTTCTCTTAAGGCAACAAAAAATCCTCAACATATCAGTTTGGCCAATCTATGGGGAAAAATTGATTTGTTGTCAAGTGAAGAAGTGAATGGATGCATTTCCCAGTTTCTAGCTATTCTTTGATTTGTGTGGAAGGGGTCCACAGTCTCAGCACGGTCATTTCTACAAAAGGGAGCAGCGCAGGCCATAAACCAGTGCAGAGAGGAGTGACTGAAACCCCTGGCATGAATTCATTCATGCCACAGCACTCATGAGAGAGAAGGTAAAACACTGGAACATATTACTAGAGATCTACTTCTTCTACTGTGAGTTCTAGAACATTTAAATATAGACCAGATGTTTCCAATAAATATACAACATCTAAATCGAGATGTAAAATGTATGCTGGATTTTGAAGACTTAGTATAAAAAAGGTAAAATGTCTCATTAATAATATTTCATACTGATTTCATGTTGAAATATTATTTTGGATATTGGGATAAATAAAATACATGCTAAAATGACTTTTACTTCTTTTTCCTTTCACTTTTTAGGACATATAACTAACAAAATGTTGAAAATTACCTATGCGGTTTGCATTTGATCTCTATTTGACATTTCTGTTGTAGAAGTCAGAGAGCATAGAAATCCTCCACTTGGAGACCACGTTCTAGTTGTCTGTATTAATTTCTCAGCTTAATTCAATGTTTTTGGTGTCTGGATATCTTTATTACACATTCTTCAATTAATGCTTGTGTTAATACAGGCCATGTTTGGTTTGAGTTTTTGGGGAAAAGAATGCTTTTAGGTTTCATAGGGAAGCAGTGTAACTATGGAGCTCACCTTTTTAGGGTTTATCTGCCTCTTGAGCAGCAGTATTCTTTTTTAAATCCTGCCATTTGCAGAGAGGCTCCTGCTTGCAAAATTTTACTGGCAACCAGTATACACACCAGATGATACCTGATTCAAGCTGGACTACTAAGATTCTCTCCCTGGGAGGGACTGGTGTTGTAGTGGATTGGGGTTAAGGCTTCGCTTGTGACACTAGCATCCCATATCAGAGTGCTGCTTCTGATCCACCCTCGGAAGTCAGGGGATGGTGACTCAAGTTTTTGGGTCCCTGTCACCCAGGTGAGAGATCCTAATGGAGTTTCTGGCTCCTGGCTTTGGCTTGGCCCAACTCTGGCTGTTGGGGGAGTGAAGCAGCAGATGCAAGTGCTCTCTCTCTCTCTCTCTCTCTCTCTTCTCTCTCTGTTGCTCTGCCTTTCAAATAAATGAATTAGCCTAAAAAATCTTATCCTTCTTATGGGACCTTGAAAATGTCTCCATGACAAATTAGATCAACAGTAGATACCTTCAGACATACGGAGTAGCTAATTCTACAATAAGGCTGAGGGAATAGAGGTGTTCTACAGAAAAGAAGACTGAGGCAAAAATAGAATGAGACAGAGTGAGACAGAATGGGGAGGAGGGAGAACTTTCTAGTTCCTTGTTCTGGATTTCTTACTCAGAAATGTAAAATAATATTTTCATAATAAAAGTTCCCCTTTGCTTAAATATTTTTAAGGGATTTTCCCCCTGCAACCAGACATTCCCAGTAAGTATAGTATTTTGAAGATCATGGGCACATGAGTCAAGCTACATGAAATAAGCAAAATAATCCCCACTTTCTGGGGTTCCTGAGAAAATAAGATGTGCTGGCATTGTCACTTGTAACTGGTCCATGCAATAGTTGCTGTATTACTATAGAAGTAACCTCAGTTTCCACTGGGGATAATTCCCTTCATAGGCCAAATGAGGCTGTCCATTGTCCAGTCCATAAATATTGCCTTGTCTAGCTTTATGGCCTTGGTCATGTAGACATGTAATACACACCTACACCAAACTGTGATAAGTAAAGGTACATTGCTCTATCCATATTCCCAATGGCTTCCCATTGCCATCACTGAGCCTTCTTTTCATACTTATTCTCATCAGTGTATTGAGAGATCCATGTCTCATATAAGAATAACAGTAAAAGGACACAAAAAGTTTCCCTGTGTGAAAAATTTAGTATAACATGGACTCTGAACTAAGCATTTTACACAACTTTTATTTCAAGTGAGTGATATGTCTGCAAGGCAGGTATCAGTATTCCCAAGTGACTTCCCAAGCTGAAGCTCTGGGAAGTCAAAAACATTGATCTAGACCACCTGGTTGATATTTACACAGTCTTTAAGGCCTGCTTAGGTTTGGGTTTGGATGCAGCACAAACTCTTCAAGCTCTGGAGCTTTGAGCGGGTTACGTAACCTTTTTATAGTTTCCCCATGTGTAAACTGGGGCTGACACCAGTGCCTATGCTGTAGGGTTGTAGTGAGGATTGAGTGAGATAATGCATGCCAAGTACTTAGAAGGATGTCTCCCACATGGTTAGCGGTCATGAAATGCCACATGTTATTATGGCTATGACTTTTCAACACCTGAGTGTCCCAGACATGTAACCAAGAAGAATGGCTTGCTAAACAGCAGCAGCATCTGCATCAGGCCAGAGGGAGGATTTGGGGGACCAATGTTCTTTCTCAAGCCCTGAATGAAAGTGCTTCATTATTTTCCTGCCCCCAAGGTAAACATGCAACAGAGTCACCACAGGGCTGAGATTCTTTCACAGTGACTGTGGCTCAACCATCACAAGGTACAGGGAAGACAACAGACGGACTTCACATACCCACCCTGCCATGATACCAGTCCCTTTCACTGGGGCCTATCAGGATTTACAGCAGGTGGAGGCTGCGGCATTTAGTATTCCTCTATTCTCACATGGGTAGGAATTTGCTGTTAATGGTGTGTGGGAGGCAGAGATGGAAGCCTCATGTTATGGAAAGGGCAGTGGAAAAGGGCAAAGGCCAAGTTCATAACTAATGCTGATATTACATATCAGTCGGGGACCCTTAGACCCAGAATCAGAAACTAAGATAAAGCTGCTGCTGTGCCTGATGAGTTCACATCAGGAATCCAATCTAGACATTTAAGTTAAATATTTAATGTTTATATTTACCTAGATTATTATTTTTGGAGCTATACCAAGCACTGAACTCAGTAATGAAATGACAGTAATAAAATTTTATCAGCCTGGAAGATCTAAAGTAAGCAGAGTCCACTCGCTCTCCTTCTCTCCCTCCTTCTTTTCTTGTTGCCAGTCATCAAATATTTATAGACTCATAAGTTTCTAAGAATCAAAAGATGAATAAGGCCCATGTGAGCTGTATGCTCTGGAGGGTAATTTATTCAATTTTGCATATTGATTGTCTGGAAGAGTAATTATAAATGTTGGCTAAAAGAAAATGAAGTTACAATCAAAATATTAAAAGATGCCTTTGTCTTGCCTTTGAAATGAGAAGTGGAAGCTGTTACGGGTTGAATTGTGTCCCTCCAAAATTCATATGCTGATGTCATAATCTTCAGTTCTTCAGAATGTGCCCTTACTTGGAAATAGAGGGACTGTCAATGTCATTGGTTAAACTGGGGGAGTAGAGCCCTGGAGTAGAGTGGCCCTGATGGTATATGAGTGGTGTCCTTACAAAAAGAGACATGCATGGTGGGAAGACAATGTGAAGAGATGAAGAGATGACCATTAAAGCCAAGGAGAGATGTCTACATCACATCTTTCCCCCACAGTCCTCAGAAGGAACCAAACCTCCTGGATTCTGAACTTCTGGTCTACAGAACTATAAAACAATGAATTTCTGGTTCAAGTTACCCAGGGCATGGCGCTTTGTTAAAGCAACCTTAGAAAACTAACTTGGAAGACTTTTATGAACAGCATTGATTTCATAAAGAGGAGCTTTTCTGGTAATTCATTGCTATGTCTCTGAGCATAGTTATTGAGCATGCCAGAAGAATTTAACAGATGTTTCTTGCATTTTTTAAATATATTACTTTATTATTTTGAATTTTTATTGATATAGTATTTATAAATTTTTATGGGGACAGTGCCACATTTCTATACATGTAATAGCATAAACTTATGCCAGAGAAGCAGCCTTTCTGTCTATCTGAAACCTACCATTCCTCTTCTCCAGTTCTTCATACAGTATATAATACAAAATTGTGAATTATAGTCATCCCACTGTATTATGGAACAGTAGAATGTGTTACTGCTTTCCGAGTGTGTTTTAATCCCTGTTATTCAATTCCCTTCTTTCTTCCCTCCTTAATCCTTCCCAGCCTGTAGTACTCGCTATTCTAAATTCAGATACACTCTATTTTTTTTTTTAACTTCCACATATGTTTTTCTGTGTCTGGCTTATTTTACTTAGTGCAAGGATCTCCAATTCAATCCACATAGCTACAAATATCAGCATGTCATTCCATTTTTATGGCTGAAGAACACTCCATTATGTATATGTACCTCACTTTCTTTCATCATCCATCTATTGATTGACAACTAGGTTGGTTCCATATTATGGCTATCATGAATAGTGCTGGATTGAGTGTAGGTATTTCGTTCATATGCTCATTTCAATTTCTTTGGATATATTCCCAGAAGTAGGATAGCTGGAGTTCCAGGTTCCTGGCTTTGGCCATTGGGGGAGTGAACCAGCAGATGTCTGGAAGATCTTTTTCTGTCATCTTGTTTTTTTGAGAGACCTCCATACCATTCTACATAATGGGTGCCATAATTTTCATTTTCTTTTTTTAAAGAATTTTTTTTTAAGATTTATTTATTTATTTGAAAGTCAGAGTTACAGAAAGGCAGAGGCAGAGAGAGGAGAGGTCTTGCCATTCACTGGTTCACTCCCCAAATGGCCGTAATGGCTAGAGCTGGGCCAATCCAAAGCCAGGAGCCTAGAGCTTCTTCCAGATCTTGCATGTGGGTGTAGGGGCCAAGGAATTGGGCCAACTTCTGCTGCTTACCCAGGCACGTTAGCAGGGAGCTGGATTGGAAGTAGAGGAGCCGGGACTCGAACCAGCGCCCATATGGGATGTCAGCAATTCTGGTGGCCACTTTACCTGCTGTGCCAGAGTGCTGGCCCAGTAATTTTCATTTTCACCATGTAAAAGATTTTTCTTTTCTCCACATCTTTGCCTGCATTTGTTACTTTTTCTCTTCTTGACAATATTCATTTAAACTGGAGAGAGATGATATCTCATTGTGGTTTTGATTTGCATTACCCTGAAGGCTACTGGTGGTATTTTTTCATGCATTTGTTGGCATTTGTATTTCCTCCTCTGAGAAATCTCTATTCAGATTATTTGTCCATTTGTTAACTGGATTGTTTATTTCTTTGTGGTTTAGTTTTTTTGGTTGCTTTTATATCCTGGATATTTATCCTTGTCAGATGAATAATATGCAAATGCTTTCTTTTATTTTGTAGGTTGTCTCTTCACTCTTTCCTCTTTTGATTGTTTCCTTTGCTATGCAGAAGCTTCTTAGTTTGACATAATCCCATTTGTCGATTTTTGCTTTTGTGGCCTATGCTTTTGGGGTTTTATCCCAAAGGTTGTTCCTATAATACTGTCTTGAAGTGTTTCCCTTATGTTTTC